GTCTGTCCCTCCGTCCGTCCGTCCATCCGTTCGTCCGTCAGTCTGTCTGTCTGTCTATTCGTCTGTCTGTCTATCCGTCCATTTGTCTGTCCGTCCGTCCGTCTGTCTGTCTGTCTGTCTGTTCATATAAGCGCTACTTACATCTTCAGCAGCCAGCGCAGAGTTCTAATACTAGTGATGCCAGTAGCGTCTGATTATACGTCTGTATGGCCTTTAAAGCGTCGATCATAGGCCAGAACGCCTCGTAACTCCCCGCTGCATCACTCTCACCAGACTGTGGTGATTCAATTACTCCTCTGAATTGTACACGTTCTCCCATAAGGCCTCAATCACGTCTGCCTTATCATGTATCAGTATTCCACAAAGTTGTGCAGAGCCAACCAGTCTGTCCGCCTGTTCATTTCCCAACATACCAACATTCCCGGAGAAAAGGTCCAGACAATGCTCCTCACCCGTGACCTCCTAAACGAAGCATAACACTCTGCCCGAAGCATACCACTCTGCCCGAAGCATACCACTCTGCCCGAAGCATACCACTCTGCCCGAAGCATACCACTCTGCCCGAAGCATACCACTCTGCCCGAAGCATACCACTCTGCCCGAAGCATACCACTCTGCCCGAAGCATACCACTCTGCCCGAAGCATGCCTGCCCTCACCTTCCTCGGCAGGTGGTTTTTAGTGTAGTCATTTCAAATACCCTATTTATAATCTTTTAGGAGGTTGAACGGGGTATGTAGGATACAACTCTGGAAGTCGCAGAGTTAATCAAACCTTTAGTTAACCGCCCGGAGGGGCAACAAGCAGACAAACATATAAACGTTTTTTCATTATTATCATCAAGTGCCTTGCCGACTGGTTTTGGTGATCTTACCTCTTCACAATTTGCGATATCAGCTCATGTGCAGAAATCCCTCTATGCCAAGAGGAAAGGATCTAGTTTCAATTTTGTTATAATAAAGAAAGGAAAAATAACGACCCCTCTTTTTCTAAAGTTTGTGATAAGTTCTCTTCAGACCCTAACTCTTTCAAAACATCAAGGTTACTTTTTTTTTTCTGTCTAAGAAATTGTAGACATTCTTCTGTAAAACCAAATGTTTGAGGCCTCAAGAAATATTTCTTTACACTGCTAAAATATCACATCATCATTCCACAAAAGAGAGAGTGACTGCATTTGTTAATTAACAGGAAGATAAAGTATTCTTACAGTCCACATCTCTTTCGTACAGTTTCTTTGGAAAATACGAGTTGCCAAATCTAGCCATCAGTAAAGTGCAGTCGGTAAATGTCATTGTCGCACACGCGCTGGACAAACCAAAAATGTAAGTGTTTCTTTTCTATTTTCAATGATAGGATTTAGTTAGTGTGATCCTGGCGCATCTCGAAGCTTCAAAAGACTCATTTGAACCATATTTCCACAGCTCAAGAGAAGTTTGAAAACTTTCGATTGCTACTAAATGTGGTCTGCGTCAAAACAAAACCATCCAGCTTAAACAGAAGGCGAGGTTCTCATCGATTCGACATCTCACAGCGAATTAAAATCGCCTTTCGAAACCAGTCTACCATAGTTTTACCTGCATTTACAAGATACATTTAAAATTAGTGTTGCTGCTCTTCTCAGTAATACATCACTGAAAATCTAGATTCTATGCTTATTTGGCTAGAAAACAGAAGTGGCTAAAATGCAAAACCAGACATTCACCTGCAGTTATCTTCAGTTGAATCTAAAATACAAACACTGCAAAACAATCCGACCACAGGTGTCTCATTATTAAAGAGGATATTTTGTCGACTGGAGGAGCTCGGTGACTGGATGAGCTCGGTGACTGGAGGAGCTCGGTGACTGGAGGAGCTGGGTAACTAGAGGAGATCGGTGATGGAGGAGCTGGGTAACTGGAGGAGCTCTGTGACTGGAGGAGCTGGGTAACTGGAGGGGCTCGGTGACTGGAGGAGCTGGGTAACTGGAGGGCTCGGTGACTGGAGGAGCTGGGTAACTGCAGGGGCTCGGTGACTGGAGGAGCTGGGTAACTGGAGGGCTCGGTGACTGGAGGAGCTGGGTAACTGGAGGAGCTCGGTGACTGGAGGAGCTGGGTAACTGGAGGAGCTCGGTGACTGGAGGAGCTGGGTAACTGGAGGTGCTCGGTGACTGGAGGAGCTGGGTAACTGGAGGAGCTCGGTGACTATAGGAGCTGGGTAACTGGAGGTGCTCGGTGACTGGAGGAGCTGGGTAACTGGAGGAGCTCGGTGACTGAAGGAGCTAGGTAACTGGAGGGGCTCGGTGACTGGAGGAGCTGGGTAACTGAAGAGGCTCGGTGACTGAAGGAGCTGGGTAACTGGAGGGCTCGGTGACTAGAGGAGCTCGGTGACTAGAGGAGCTTGGTGACTAGAGGGGCTTGGAGACCGAAGGCACAGGCATCATGAGTCCCCTCCCGTCAACATCTCCCTAATAATTTAATTTAAAGGGAGCGGGTCGAGGGGTGGGGGGAGGGGTTAGCATTTCAGTAATTCTATTGATCTATTGTCTTCTTCACTTTTACCGGGTTGCAGCCCAGTGTCGTGGTTTAAAATATTTGTTTTGTGCCTCTCGCGTGATTTGAGTGACAGTTTTCTAGATCTTCTGGCCGTATTCAGCTACTCCATCTATCCATTTTTTCCTGTGTCTTCCTCAGGCCTTTCTTCCCGATGTTCTACTGTAAAAGGCCTTATGGACAATCTGATCCGGTTGCATTCTTACTAAATGGCCAAACCACTTCATTCTCCGTCTTTCAGTATGTTTCATGCATGCTCTTGTTCCAACTTTGTCTCTTATGCTGTCGTTTGTGACTCTGTCTTTTCGTGTATTGTTGGTGACTCTTCGGAGACATCGCATTTCACACGTAGTTATTTTTTGCACATGTGATTTGTTCATTGTCCACGTTTGGCACTGATAACATAACGTAGGGATGAAAATGCTGTTGATCATCCGTTGTTTGGCTGGTAACGAGATCTTTGGATGACGAAGAAGTGGGGCTAGTTGGTAGTTGACTGCATTGGCTTTTTGAAATCTAGCCTGTATCTCTTTATCGAGTCTTCCATCTTCTGAAAATATGCATCCTAAGTAGCATCTCAGTAATTGACCCTACAAAATTTGCAATTAGACCTGTTCACCCTAACTATATATAGACGTTATTTTTTTTACACATTTTTGTAGTAGATTTTGTAATTTTTCAAAAAATATTTCCCCCCTTCACTACGTAGTAAAGATAAGAATAATAATAATAATGATGATAATACCAAAAACTGCAATCATAAACAGGTCAAGTCCCTAGAGGTCTCCCGCTCTCTAGTAGAATATAACAAGGTTATGCATGCCCCCCTCAAGTGTTTCTTTGTTTCGTTTCACCTACTGTCATCTAATTCAATAACTGTTTGGTAAGATCCTGCCGCGTATGGAGTATTTTATGAAGGAATACGCTCGTTCACGGAAATTCCAAGGCACCATAAATCTAGTTCTGGTTAATTAAAACCTCACATTAACCGGGGACTACTAATAATATATGCCTGCTGGGACCAACATTTTCTTGATGTTAACCAAGTGTCCTTCTTAAGCGATTTTATCTTAACGAGGTTTAGGCTTTGCTATATAACCTGCCACCATACATGAAGTAACATTGTCACAACGCGTATGTTATATTTTTACCGGAACTGCCAGCGAGGTGTGTGGCAACGGTTCTTTGACCCTTCTTAAAGATGACGTCACAGCCAGAGGTTTATCATTCACATGCGAAGATGACCCAGCGTGAGTTGTGTAGTTAATATTTCTTTCTTTCTGTCCTTTTTTCTCTCCTCCCCCCCCCCTCCTCCTGTTCCCCCTTTTGTGTCTTTTTGCCTTTCTACTTCTTTCTATGAATGCCGATCAATACATTGTCTGTTTGTTTATTATATATATATATATATATAGTCGCCTGATGACTGGACTGAAGGAACAATAGTCAAAATTTCCCAAAAAAGGAGATTTTACAGACTGCAAAAATTGGAGGGGAATTACTCTACTCTCAGTACCAAGCAAAATATTTTGAAAATCATCATAATGCTGCTTGAAATAGGAGTAGATAAATGCCTACGAGTGGAACAAGCAGGATTCAGAAAGGGCAGTGGAACAGCTGAGCACATTTTCACCCTACGTAACATTTTATAACAATGCAATGAATGGCAAAGAAGTATATATATTAATTTTGTGGACTTTGAGAAAGCTTTTGACAGCGTAATTTAGACAGTCTCTGGAAAATATTACGACGTTATGGAAGGAATTCCAGAAAAGATAGTCAACATAAATGCTCT